AAGCTGGATACAGTGTCCAGCTGATGTGTTACAAATGTTTAGTGTGGAAGAATTACTTTTGATGTTTTCTATATATCTGCCCTGTTAATGCATCACAAAATGGAGGGGTTGAAAGAAATAAGAGATTTTTACCCATACATCAGTTGGGGCAGGGACAGGCAATACTATAGTTCGTTGTTAGGGATGGGATAAATTGACTGAGATTTCTTTAACAAGAAAAATAAAATGTACAATAAAACGACAATAAAACACCATCCCTGTAGACCCTACTGGTCTCATGAACATGGCTTTCATGGCATTTGAGCCTTTAGCATCCCATTTGTTTCTTCATTGGTCTCTGAAGCTAATGTTTCTTGTGACAGTTACTTCAGCATGGAGGTTGGTGAGATGCAGGTACTGGATGTTTAATTACCATTTGCAGTCTTTCACAAGAGATAAATTACCATTTAACAACACCCTTACTAGCTTCTGACAGTCATTTTGGATTTCTCTTCAAACCAGCTCTTACACATGCCTGTTTCTTTCTCAAGACTGATATGCCCAAAGATAGAAAGACAAAGCCTGAAGGACATCCAACATGTGGGAGGGCATTTTATTTGGACCAGGGCTATTCAGAGTATGATCTAGCTATATGTAGCAGTTGCCAAAGAATGAAACAGTTTCACCCGAGAGAATCTGTAAATGGGGACTGGCAGAAGGTAGGGAAGGGTGGCATGATCTTTTGCAAGTGACATCCTGCTTTGTCATTTGCTATTTTTGTCAGCGTTTTACAAAACAGGCTGTTGCCTATGAAAGCTCATGCCTCTCTGAACCAGTTTGTCTCTAAGGTGCTGCCCTGACCTACCTTCTGTCTGACTTCAAAACAACATGACTAACCACTTCTCTGCTAAAATGGGTATTGTGTCACAAATGAGGTATCTGACTTGCACCTTCCTGGACATGTTGAATCGCATTCTACTATGGGGGTAAGGCAGCTTCTGCCACCTCTTTCAGGGGTGTCTGTTTACATTATATATGCAAAGCTGCTTCTTGGAATATGAAGTATGGATTTTAACTCCACAATACTCTGTTCAGTTATCTCGCTTGGATGTCTGATTTGGCAGGCTTATAGTTCCATCATTATTGAGACTCAGAAATATGTTCTTGCTTCAGTGATTGATTGCTTGGGATTCACCAGAAGTGGAGCATATATAGACAAGTACTTGAAGAAGAAAGGAAGTTTACTTACCTGTTGGGAGAGAGAGTTCTTTGAGATATGTTGTCTACCTGGATTCCATGGGCCACTCTCCTTTTCTTGCTACTGTTGAGTCTTGACAGGAAGGAGTTGAAGACCTGTTGGTTGCTCTTTTTTTTTCTTCATCTCGTGAGAGGGTGTAGGGACACAGGTGCAATCAGTAGACACTTAATGCATGCACCATCAGAAGCAGAAAATACATAGACAGCACATCTCAAATAACTCCTATAATGGAGAGGTAAGTAAACTTTCTGTTTTCAGAGTTGGGTTTGGGTAGTGTGCAGTAAATAAGGGCAATATAAGATTGATATGTTCAGATCCATCGCACCATCCTCTGCCGTTTAAGCTAATGTTGACTGATTACAAGAGTAGCAGCTGACAAAGTAGGCTGTAGTCTAGGAAAATTCATGCCCCTCTAAATGAGTAAGTCTATAAGTTTCCACTGTGCCCTGCCTTGTGATAACAAAAGGTTGTTATATGAAGTGAATGAACACTAGAGGGAGTAGGACACATGCTTTTGGAAGTAGGTTTCACAAATAGTGGGTTTCTTTGACAGCAGAGACATTGTGCAATTGAGAAAACTTGGGTTGTATTCCAGACTGTGAAGTGGAGTTTGATATTGTGGTTGCATTTTTCTGCGTAGCTTCTCCTGCCCCCGCTCCCCACCCCACTGTCTCTCAAGTTTGTTGTCTTCTCTCCTGTCCCGTCATTTCCTTATACCAGTATGATTCTCCTTTTCTATCAGTCTCAGTCTCCATTTTCCAGATTTTGCATTCCAGTCCCAGTCTCCTTGCTCGGCCCATCCTTGTCTTATCCTTCAGGCTTGCAGTCTACTCCCAGACTCTCCTCTACTTCACTCAAAGAGCAGTCTTCTTGTCTAGCCAGTTCCAGTTCCCTTATCCAATCTGTCTCCTCCCTTCCTTTCACTATTTTCCAGTCCTTCCCTCCATGGAGTCCTCACCCATTCTGTTCTCACTGGCTCCTTCCTCCATAGGATTATTTTCCAATTTTATTTAGCTGAGCCTGTTTTAAGTCCCTTCCCTGAACTTCCGCTCCTTCTTAGTTCCGTCTTCCTCCCCTCTTTCCACCTTGCTGGTTCTTTGATCCAGTTTTGTCCAGCCAGTCATGTTCTCCCTTTTTCCTCAGCTCTTTGTCTGATCTTTGTGTTTTCTCTTCCACTCATCAGGCTCACAGTCCCAGTTAGGGATGCAGCCTCAAAATTAGGACTTTCTACAGCTGGGAACTGTAGTGTGGGAGAGATTATGCCCTGCTTATATACCAGGATGGATAAAAATCAACATTTTTTTAAATAAAAAAAATCAGATTTTAAAATTTTAATCAGATTTTTTAATGTAAAGTTATGGTTTGTTTGGTTTTTTTGGGGGGGGAGGGGTTTAAGATGCTTTGTAAAAAAATAACCTATATAAAGATGGTCTTAATTTAAGGTGTGTTAAAGCTCAAAGATATCATCATGGAATAGGGATTATAACTTCTAATTATATACTATTTGAGATAATATCTTCATGTAACTTTTAGAAAAGTTTTATAAAAGGTCATAACAGGCCATGGTCTATATTAGGGGCCCAATCTTATGTGGTTCCTAGAGGTTCCTCTATAGATTAGTAAAGATTAAAGAAAATTACTCTACCCGATGGGACTCAGTGCTTAGTCTAGAACAGGGGTTTTCAACCTTTTTAAATAAGTGCACCCATGGTGGCTGGACGTGGGGGGAGGGGGGTGGCACATGGCTGGATGCAGAGTGAAATGCTGGGTGGTGGCGGTGGCAGTGTAAGATGCTGGGTGATGGCAGTGGCCACTGCATGTGAGCTTCTCCCCTCCCCCCAGCATCCGGCCAGCCGGGCAGTACCTGTGTGGCCCACAGGGGGGTGCTGCTGCCTTTGCCCCTGGCCCTGCTCCTGGGACATGGTGGCACAGGGTGGTAGGTGGCAGTGCTCCGTTGCCACCCCCCCGTGTATAACCCTAGGGCCTTCCCAAGTACCCCCGGGGATACACGTACCCCAGGTTGACAACCCCTGATCTAGAAGATCCCATTAAGCATCTCTGTGGTGCTTAGTTTCAGTTCTCAAATTGTGGATTTGTGTCTCCCAAGATAAAATCCTTGTTAACAGCAGTATATGGAGATGAGACATAACAGATCTGATTACCTACCCATCAGCCCTATTGCCTCTCTGCAAGTTTGTGTACACAGAGTTAAGCCCTTATCTCTCTAAAAGTGCAAAGTTTCAAGAAAAAGGAATAGAGGATATCAACAACATGAATGCACTTTTTGTAGAAAACAGTGATTAAATCAAGGTGTCCTGACCTGTGATTTAAATTGTGATATAAATCAAATTCACCCTGTTATATATACTTCCCCTCAGCATCAGTATTTGCCACTGCAAGAGACGGGATACCAGCCTAGATGGAACTGTGGTCTGATACAACAAGTCATTTCTTATGTTCAGCATGCTTTCCACTAACAATCTTTCTGCTTGCCTAACCAGTCCCAGTTTCTTTCCTAACCAGCTTCAGTCTCAGTCTTGTCAGGCTTTTTGTCCCATTCTACTACTTTTTACCTCCTTGGTCCAACTTTTGCCCCCTCTTTATTTGAATAGGATAGCTCCTGCCATGCTGCCTGAGTGCCATTAGTTGGGGGTTGGTCTAGATTAATAGATTCATGGATTGTAAGGCAACAGGGGACCTCGGAAGATCATCAGGTCCAGTCCCCTGCACCAAGCGGGAAAAGTAACTGGGGGTCAGGTAACCCCAGCAAGGTGATTGTCTAATCTCTTTTTGAAGATTTCCAGGGTAGGTGATTGCACCACCTCTGGAGGGAGCTTATTCCACAGTTTGGACACCCTGACAGTGAAGATGTTTTCCTAAAGTTGAGCTTGAATCTGCCAGGAGTTTGTTGGTGTTACTCCTGGTTTTCTCCTCAGGTGCCCTGGTGAGCAGTTACGGAGCCCTTGATGTACTCCCTTAGCATAGCGGTCAACTGCTACCAGGTCCCTTCTCACCCTTCTTTTTCTCAGGCTGAAGAGTCCTAGATCCCTCAGCCTTTCCTCGTATAGCTTCCCTTTTAAGACTGATCATATGGGTGGCTCTTCTTTGGACTCTCTCAAGCTTGTCCACATCCTTGTTAAAGTGTAGTGCCCAGAACTGGATGCAGTACTCCAGCTGTGGTCTCACCAGTGCTGAATAGAGTGGAAGAATCACCTCCTTGGTTTTGCTGGAGATGCATCGATTGATTATATGCCAGAGTATTATTTGCCCTACTGGCTACAGCATTGCACTGCCAGCTCATGTTCATACTATGGTCTATTATTACCCCCAGGTCCCTTTCATTCATGGTGCTAGTCAGTTTGGTGCCGCCAAGCCTGTAGATGTGTTGAGGGTTGCTCGTCTCGAGGTGGAGCACTTTACATTTCTCAACATTGAACCTCCTTAGGCCCCTTCCAGCCCTAATTTTCTATGATTCTATGATGACATCAGGGCCACAGGATAGAAAGGCTGGCTCCATCCATGTTCTCCATTTTAGTATCTGGTCTCATTCCAATCTTGAGCTGTTAAAAGCTGTCCCTGGAACCCCAGGCTGGATGGGGCATGTTCAGTTGCCCTGTGGATAATTATATGTGCACAATCCAGTCATATGTAGAATCCTGAAATCATGGTCTTGTAATTGGAGGTGTTGAGCTATCAGACTGCATTTGATTTGGATGCAGATTTGATACAAGAAAGTGGATATATTCTTTCTTTTATTTTATAGATATCAGTGGCTCGTACCTTGCCTCTTCCCAACGGAGTGTTGACCAGCCTCTTTCTCCTATATTGAAGACAGGACATCTTTCCTCTTCTGAGTCTGGTCCTTCCTCCCCCAGTAGTCACAGAAAAAAACTAAGGTAAATATTGTAAGACTATTTGAAGTGAGAAAATATTAATTTAACCTTACATTTAAAATAAGCATATATATATCTGTTGTGGTCTCCTGGTTACAGCAGTCTTTTACTGTCTTTATCGATGATTCTCAATGAGGGTGCTGTCAGATCTTTTTAAGGGAGCCTTTAGGTGCCATACAGTATTAGCACTGTTAGATTTTCAATTACCAGCATGATTCACAAGATAAACCCAGAGATTTCTTATAAGAATCCATAATATCAAAAGAATGCTGCCCCATTGTGGTCTTTCTGAGTACTTTACAACAGAAGAATTGAGTTATTATTTTTCTGTAGTCCTTCCCCGAGAAGGTGTCCATTGTTTCTGTGTAACTACCCCTTTTTCTTATGCAACTTTTATTCAGGGGTTGGATATTGTTCTTTGGATTTCAGTCAGTCCTATTTTCTCCTAATCCAAAAGTTATCTCTCGTTATCTTCGGACTCTTAACTTGAATTGGGTATTAATTTAATATGCAGGATTGGATGAACCCATTAGCCTGTCAGGTCTGTTTTGTTTAGCAAAGTATTACTTTGACTTTAAGATTGTACTGTGCCCTTACTTCTGGCACTTCAGCTCCATCCTGAGCTGAAAAGCCCGAGAGATGTCAGAAAAAATACCTTGCACCTAGCAGAGAGATAACAGTGGAGAGCAATCAGAAATTGTTAACCTGAATGGTAAGTCTTTCAAATGGAATCCCTTTGTATAGGGAGCTGGCCACAGCCCAGGGAAATCAGCATTTCCAGTGACCTGATGAAGGACTGGAAATTGCTTGGAGGGGTTTATCTAACAAGAGGGACTGGAACTTTGGGAGACTTTTTAATCAGCCATTTAGAAGACACAGACGAGATTGGGGAGGCATAGAAAAAGAAGAGGAAGGTCTTGGAAGAACAAAAGTTCTGATCACAATTCATAGGGCTCTTGAAGTGGTAAGGAGACTCCAGGGAGTGTTTAGCATGCACGTTTTTGTTGTTCTTCCATTTGTCCATGTGTGTCTCTATTTTGTCTGAATAAAGTATACTTGGTTTAGAAATTGCTTTGCAAAGGCTATGTCCTTTGCTTTTACTGTCAGGTAGTCTATGAAGTATGCATTAGCTGCTTAGAGGAGCCAGCATGAGTTTTAGAGCCTAAGACATTGAACTGTTTGGACATGAACTCCAAGGGTGTGCCTAGAAGCTGAGAGCTTGAGACAGTGTCTGGAACCTGACTAGTCTAAAGCACAGAATTCAGTGGTTGGATCCAACTCAGCAGCCTAATGAATATCCACTAGGGAGGTACACTTGTAAGGTATTTACACTTCTGTGGTTGCATTGTAGTATAGAGAGATCTGAGCTAGCTGTAAAACAGCTAGTGTGGGCATTAGAGCAGTCTAACAGTGGCCGCACAGGCTGCTTACCCTGCCAACTTTGTAATTCAACATAGATGCACTCTTGGTCTTTGCCATAAGCACCAGCTGTGTGGCTAAATATTTCTTTTGTTTTAAGGCTTCAACCTTGGTCTTGCTTGACCAATCTCATTTCCTTCTACGACCAGGTGACCTATCACCTGGACAAGGGAGAAGAGATTGATGTCATATATCTTGACTTCAAAAAAGCCTTCGATCTGGTGTCCCATGATCGCCTCTTGCAGAAACTGGCCAATTGTCGCCTTGGGTCCTCCACGATCCACTGGCTGGGAAATTGGCTCCGGGGTTGGACCCAGAGGGTAGTAATTAATGGAAGTCACTCATCGTGGTGTCCTGTGACCAGTGGGGTCCCCCAAGGCTCTGTCCTTGGACCCATACTGTTCAACATCTTCATTAATGATGTGGACACTGGAGTCAGAAGCGGACTGGCCATGTTCGCCGATGACACCAAACTTTGGGGCAAAGCATCCACACCAGAAGACAGGCAGGTTATCCAGGCTGACCTGGACAGGCTCAGCAAGTGGGCGGACGAGAATCTGATGGTGTTCAACGCCGATAAATGCAAGGTTCTCCACCTTGGGAAAAAAAACCCGCAGCATCCTTATAGGCTCGGCAGTGCTATGTTGGCTAGCACTATGGAAGAAAGAGACTTGGGGGTCATCATTGACCACAAGATGAACATGAGCCTGCAATGCGATGCGGCGGCTAGTAAAGCGACCAAAACGCTGGCTTGCATCCATAGATGCTTCTCAAGCAAATCCCGGGACGTCATTCTCCCCCTGTACTCGGCCTTAGTGAGGCCGCAGCTGGAGTACTGCGTCCAGTTTTGGGCTCCACAATTCAAAAAGGATGTGGAGAAGCTTGAGAGAGTCCAGAGAAGAGCCACGCGCATGATCAGAGGTCAGGGAAGCAGACCCTACGATGACAGGCTGAGAGCCCTGGGGCTCTTTAGCCTGAAAAAGCGCAGGCTCAGGGGTGATCTGATGGCCACCTACAAGTTTATCAGGGGTGACCACCAGCATCTGGGGGAACGTTTGTTCACCAGAGCGCCCCAAGGGATGACGAGGTCGAATGGTCACAAACTACTTCAAGATCGTTTCAGGCTGGACATAAGGAAAAACTTCTTTACTGTCCAAGCCGCCAAGGTCTGGAACAGCCTGCCACCGGAGGTGGTTCAAGCGCCTTCATTGAACACCTTCAAGATGAAACTGGATGCTCATCTTGCTGGGATCCTATGACCCCAGCTGACTTCCTGCCCTTTGGGCGGGGGGCTGGACTCGATGATCTTCCGAGGTCCCTTCCAGCCCTGATGTCTATGAAATCTATGAAACCTCAAACGTAATGCTTAATTATTAGCATTTTGTGTTGTCATGCACTCTACAAGCAGCATAGCACTGAAGGATAGTATGTCATTGGTACCATAAGTCTCACTGGGCTTGACTCCTGCTGTGCCCGTGTACATCACTTATTTTTGTGTGATATCCTTTCTTGTTAAGTAGCTTGTTTTCAGAAAGACATAAATCAATGGATGGTGCTTCCCCATTTGTATTCTCTGATTTCAGGAAGGACAGTTTAGATTTTTCTCTGAAAGCAACCTTTGGAATAGATCTGTAGCATATAATTCAGAATTGCTGACTTATTTTAAGAGATTCAAAAATATCCCTAGCAAATGAGTGGACCAGAAATGTTACATGCATGTGTAAATTTTAAAAATACAAACCTCATGTCGCAGAGATGACAAGATGCTAATGAAATTCAAGATCATGTTAACTGAAATGGATGCGTCTTCCAGTAGCGCTCCAGACTTTAGCCTATGACATTAAACCAAAATTCTAGTCATATTTAAACACTTAGAAACCAGGTTCTGTGCTTTTATTCAGGAAAAGATAATGTTTGTAGCGTGGTGCACATGGGATCAAGGATAACTCTTTCAGTTATTTGAGCTACCTTCTTGACTGGACAGTCTAATCAGAAATTGATTCTATCAAAATTTGAAGCTCTTTTAAGCCTGAGGTAACTTAAGATGAAGGTAGTTTATTTTTTTCAGCTCACTGTTGATAGCTTCAAGTGAAACTAGACAATTTTGAGACCCCCTTTTAATGAGTCTTTTGTTTGAAAAACAGTCCTGATAATTGCTTGCATAATCTAATAGGGGTTAAGGTTTCATGTTTTCTAATGGAGAGGACTTCAGCTCATAGGAAGGAAAAGCTTCATATTGTAGTGACCAGTCAACTTCATCATTGTTGGCAATACGACAATTCAAGGCTGATCTCTACCATGGCTCATTACTTATGAGTCCAATCCTTGAGACTTAGATCCAGCTGCAGAAGTTATAGGTCTTTCCCCAGGGGAGAGTAGGCTGTAAGCCAAGCTTTGTCTCTCTCTCCTTCTTCTGCTCTCTCTGCTCTGATTCAAGGACAAGAAGCGTTAACCAGTTTATGCCGTGTTTTGCAAGGATGAAGTAGAGTTACTCGCTCTTCACAAGTTCCTGACCAGCTAGGTGATAAAATATCTCATCCTTCTCGTACCACAAAGTCCCTTTTGCATGTTTGACGTGAAAACCTAATTGCCTTTTTTAGGAAGGATTTCAGTTAAGGTTTTAGGCAAGGGAGGCCTAAAATGCTTCACTTCATACTCCACCAAGCCTGAAGGGCACCTGTACGCATGCTTGATGCCTGTCCTGATGCATGTTAGTTAGTTGATTGATTAAATGAGTCTGCTGGAGTGTGCTAATTAGCATGCTCCAGCAGCCTTGGCATTACGTGTATTCAGCATCCCCATGGTTCAAATGGCAGCAGGGGCAGTTTAACTAAAGCTTATCCAATGAGCTTTAGTTAAAGTTCCCCTCTCACCATTTTGAAGCATAGGACACTGAATACATGAGACACGGTGAGAACTTTTTAATTAGAATGGCTCCCAAGGGCCACTCTAATTAAAGCTCCTTCCCTAAAGACACCCTAATATTCTGGCTGTCTTCAATGCCACATTTGGGTGTCTTATGCTTCTAGACCTTGTTTCTGAGGAAGGGAAGCCCAAACTCTTATACTCCCTAGGGTTTGGGGTGAGATTTTTTTTGATTGGTTGTTTGCTTGGGATTGTGAGCCTTTTTTTTTTTGGCTTTTCAAGGTGACTTCTGTATAAGGTGGGCACATTCTTGGAGTTATATTTTTAACAAAATATACCCCCTATCCATTCCACTTCTTCAAAAACCCTGCTTATGTGTTAACACTTAGTCTAACTTGACACGTTCCTTGAGCTTGCGTATTCTCCCAGAATAAGGATCTTCTGTAGTAGTGATTTTCAATCTTTTCATTTGCAGATTCCTAAAAAATGTAAAATGGAGGTGCAAACCGTTTTGAATTGTAAGCGTGGGTATTCACGCACTTTTGATTTATCATAGTCATATTTGTGGACCCTAAGACAGTCTGCAGACTCCCAGAGGTCCATAGACCACAGGTCTAAAACTATAGTATATATCACTAGAAATGACATAATTACAAACCTAGTAATTCTGCTTCACTAAAGAGATCATTTACAGATTTATCTGACCCACCCACCTACCAGTTATCCTTTTGAGTTGGGTGCTTGAAGAAGAAGCATCTATATCGTAGAGAGTCCTGGAAGGTGCATGCATTTTATCTGCAATGATCGACTCCTTTTTGTACACACTTAAGATAAAGAAAATTTATTTTTGTGTTTTTCCCAAATAGAGATTAAGGAGCTTTAGGTTTCTGCTCTTCAGGGAGCTGGTTTCAATTTTTGGGGTGTATATACCCCTTCATGGTTCTGCAGTGTCTCACTTCAGACAGCTGTGTTATCTTCCACACTTTCCTTTCCTTCATTAATGCTAACCTTTGTCTCTCAGATGCCCCTGTATTGGTATAATAGATGTCACAGATTGAGGGTTAGTGTTAATCTGCACATAAATTGTAAAGGAAAATAGCTGAAGTACCAAGCAACAGTGTACTGTGCCTTGAAGGGACACTGTTAAGACTACAACGAAAACAGCTTGAGTGCATCAAAGGAAGCCTGCTGCCCTATTTTGCCCTGAGGGTGGGATTATCTGAACAATAAGAAGAAGCTGAGCCTGGGACAATGGTCATAGAAGCAGAGCAGGCTGCTCTAGAAAGTAGTTGCCTCCCTCAGGTTCTGAGTGACAATTTGAATTACGCCACAGGGTAAAGACCCTGACATAAGGGCCTTGTGGCATTTCTCAAGACTGATACTTCCATGTGTTTTCTTTGAAGGGGGCATATTTGGGGGGGCGGGGGGTTGACTGTCCTTTGGCTTGGACTGTTTATAGGTACATTCTGAAATTCAATAATACATGTATCAGCTTCTCCAGCTGTTCAGTCTGAGCTAGGGTGACCACCCGTCCCTAATTGGGTGGGACAATCCCAAAATGGGATCTATCCTGATCCCAGGATGCATAACTCTGGGACAGCATTTGTCCCGGATTCATAGCATTATGGAGGGATCTGGGTTTCACCTTGCAGGTGGCTGGCTTCAGCCTGCAAGGGACGCAGGGGGTGCCATGTGCACATGGCCGGGAAAGCGCTGGGCATCGTGGAGAGCAGCTCCCTGCAGGTAAGTGTATGGGGGGGAGTGGGCATGGCTGGGGAGAGTGGGGGGCAGATCGAGGCCCCCACAGTCAGGGAAGGGGTGGGGCGATGCATGGGGCCTGGCCAGGGAGCAGGACAGAGCCACAAGTGGCTCATCCAGGGGGTGTTGAGGGGAGCAGCTCCCTGCTGCAGTGTGCACCTCCCCAGGGAGGGTGGCATGGAGGGCACATGTCCCCCAGATTTGTGTGTGGGGCAGAGGTGGGTTGCCCTCTGTGGGCTCAGGGCTCCCCGCCTTGCTGTCCTTCCCCTGAGAGCCCTGTGCCATGGCCATGTACCCCCTGCCTGCCCAGTAGCAGCTGGGGTGGCGGTGGCATGGAGATGTGCCCCCCACTACTGCCAGTCAAGTAGTTAGCACACAGCTGGCATGGGGCTCCCAGGGGAAGGGCACCAGGGCGGGGAGCCTGCATCCGCCCCTGCCCGGCTTGGCTCTGAACCAGCTGTGCCACCAAAAGGGGGAGTGGGGAGAAGATGGGCATATTTCTCACCTTTACATTTTAAAAGGTGGACATTTTAGTCTGAGCATCAAGTCAATATCACCTAAGTGGTATGATTTGTATTGCTGGGTTACTTTACAATCTATAGAGAATGAGCAGAAAGGGAGATAAAACATATGGCAGTGTCCCACATCTGGAAAACTATTCCCAGCACAGTGACCCATTTCCTGCCTGGAGGCCAATAACAGTCAGAATCTCTCCATCATTGAGGGAAATGATTGCTTCCAAGACCGTAGCAGCACCAGGGGTTTGTTTCCTGTCCCCACTTGCGGTTGAAAACAGCCCTTTCTTCTCCTGGGATGTGAACAGCATTTTTACTATTGCAGAGTGAACTGCGTTCTTAGTATTGTGACTATAGAAAGAAGACTTTGCAAAATATGTGGCTGTTGTTATATGGAAAGGAGGAATTCATTGCGTTAGATTTTCCATCTCCTGCTCATGCCTTGTGTAATGAGTGTTTTGTTCATGTTAAAGTGCTGAATTTGTTGCCTCTGTTTGGGTTGGGTACTTTTAATTGCATACTTCCATAGATGTGTTTTGTACAAACCTTTGGTTATCAAAATAATGGGTAAAAAAAAAAGAACATTTTAAGTGCAATTTGTGTGTTTAAATAGTGTTGTGTTGATTGAGACGCTCTTTTATGGCTTATTGACACTGGATGCAGTCCATGATCTGGTTGTCAGTACTGCTGTGATAAAATGGATTTTGAAAACCTTTAGGGGTATGCAGGTAACTACCTTAATGAGGCAAAATTCTCTCATTTTTTGTTTACTAAATCTAAGTCAGTGAATTTTGTGCTTTTCTATCATTTATTTACCACTGGCAATATTATACAAATTGGCACATCTGTCCTTGTACTCCAGAGGCATAATATAAGCCTAGCAGAGATTAAAACTATGTAATGTAGATGATACAGTTCTAGAAACAGAAGCGTGGCTTACATTAAACAATAGATACTGTATTTGCAAGATAGTTTTTCTTGTGTTATTGAGCCACCCTTCCGAAATGGCAAAAACAATACCAATACATATATTTTCCCTGGGGCTTCAGTTGGTTGCAGTTGAGTCTCTCTCTTATGGGCTGTGTTTTTTTCATGTTCCCTTTTCCTCTAGTCCACAAAAACATGTATTCCTTGAGAATTATTATTATATAGTTTGTGCTCATTACAGTTAAAGGCTACTATGGCAGAGTGCTGAGCCAGCTTCTGTATGCCGGGCTGCTGATACATCTCATTTGTGACCTGCTGTTCTTTCTGGACAGAGATTGCTGGTTGTCACGTAGAGTGTATTGTGCTTTATGTTGTTAATAGACAAATCCCTAGCAGCAATTAGAATGGGGCCATTAAACCTATTTTTCACAGAGCCTATATTTAGTCTGTTAAATATGTGATCAGAGGTGAAAAGTTTTCTCGCCTTATGTATCTGTGCCCTTATTATCATGGCATCAAAGCACAATGCTAAAAGACTAAAAGTCATAGCTTCTGTTCTGTGTCAGAGTTTTGTTACCGCCTTCCTCCTTTCTTATTCTCCCCAATTCCTTTTTAGTTCCTTTCCATGGTTTATCTTTTTTCTAAATACTTTTTGCCCTTTTCAGTTGTGGGTTGGTCTGGGGAGAGACAACACAGTTAAATGTCTGATACAAAAGGTGGGCCTGTCTAATGAAAGTGGAGAGCAGTTAGTTGCATAACAGAATTATGAGTTAGAGGTTATATAGCATTTTCTCTGTGTGGTTTACATTTTCTCAAGCTGCTGCTTTTCTTACCTTATATTCTTGGCATGTAGTAAATCTTTTAAAGTTTTTTTTTTTTCTTCTTCAGTTTTCATGAACAGCAAGCTGATATTCAGGACTTCGATGACTCTTCAAAGCCTGAGAAGCTAGCATATGAGGACCTTGAAGAACATAATTCTTCTCTTGAATGTAAGTCTAAGTTTTTCAGACAATTACTGTACTACATTGGGAAGTCTCAACTTGCACCTTTCCTTTCACCCTAACATTAGAAAGGGGGTCATAAGTGGGATGTCCCAAAGATCAGTATTAGGAAAAAAAAAAATTACTCTGCATGGAAAAGATGATTAGCAGGAATTAGAATGAGTCCATTAAACCCATTTTTGAGGAGCTTATATTTAGTTTGTTAAATATATGATCAGAGGTGAAAAGTTATCTAGTCCTAGTGTATCTATGCACTTACGATCATGACACCAGAGCACAGGATGCCAATTAGAAAATGCAGTGCTGACCCTGTCTAAAAGAGTAAAATTTGCTAAGGTTGTATTTCACTGTGAGGGGGAAAGGTATGTGAATACCTAACTGATGTTTTGAAACAAAAAAAATGAAAAGGAGATTTTATTTTCTTTGCGTTTGGTATATAAACCAGAATTATTTAGTATTATGCAGACACAAGAACAGGCAGACTATGGGATTTAGAAGTCTAGCTCTGAACAAATACAAAACTCTTTTGCATAAAATGGAAATGGACACTTGAGACATGACTTTGTGTCTATTATGGAATGCATATCATTTACTTCAGTAACAATTTTTTAGTATGTTTTAAAATTTTATATAAAATCAGGCTTCTAGTTGTAAATATATCTGCCCATTTAAGGTCATCATTTAACTGCTGCTGTATTAAGTATTATGGATAAGTAATTATGAACCTGAGGTAATCCAGAGATGCACAAAATTTTGTAGAGTACAGTGTGCTCCACTTATGGGGATACTGGATAAGCGCATAATTCATTTAACTTTATAACAGTGCCAGTCCCGATGTTTAGTACCTGTTGCATGCATTCACTGTAGTACACTCCACTATTTTGCATGTTGATTAGGTGCCTAAACCTCATATGTGTATAACATCATACAGCCCCATTATCTTTGTAATTAAATCATACTCCATTTAACTGCTACAGAAACAATGAAGGGGAAGCCGTTGTCAAAGGGCTGCTACTAGAAATTGGAAAAAGACGAGAACTAGTTGGTTTTGCAGCTTCCGGCACAATGCTATAGCACTGTGTTATTAGAGGCCCTAAAACTGATTAGCACTCATTATATTCAGGGCTTCTTGTAACAGCCCCAAAACTGACTATCTCCTTTCATTTTCAAGGCTTATAAGGCTTTTGAAGCTTTTGCTAGGAACTTTGAATATAATAAGAGATAGCTAGTTTGGGGGCTTCTAATATCACAGCTGTGTCACAGCTGCATACCTAAGGAGCGTTGGTTACATTAAGTTCAGAAAAATGCATGCTCCAGGTAAGGGCATACTCTTTTTCAGTCTTAAGGCTCTAATGTGGTTTACTTGACACTAACAAGTGCCTCAGACCAGCCTTCATTATTTCTGTCTTGACTCTTTGTAGCACTACAAAAATACAGCACAGTAGCGAACATACAGGCCCCCTGGCTGGAGAGCTCACCTTTAAGGTGATTTGGAAGCTCTCCAGACGGGGAACAATAGAGAGCTGTTTTTTGGATCACCCCACAGACAAGAGAGCCCAGTGACTGACAGCCAGTAAGGGTACACTGAGAGAGATTTTTGGGGCTGATACTGATAGCCAATTTTTAAGGGTGCAAGTTGGCCGATATCGAGCCAATTTCTGATACCAGCCTGGGAACTTGAAGAGCAGTGTCTAACTGGTAAGTATGTTGTGGTGAAGGGGAGGGTGGAGGGAAGGGAAGGGGCAGAGGGCACAGATCAAGGGCCTTGCTGTAAGGGAGGGAGTGGAGCTGGGCAGGCACTGCCCAGCCGGGGGTGGGGGGAGCATGGGGCAGAGCTGCAAGCAGCTTGTCGGGGTGGGGCACTGGGAGGGAAAGGGTGGCTCCTGCTGCTGTGCGCACCGAGGGGGGGGCAGGTGCCCCCCCTCCCCGGATCTGGGCAGGGTGGGGCACGCTACAGCTGCAGGCTGGGGATGCACTGGGCTGTTCCCAGCGGGGGGCTGGACCAGACTGCGCTTGGGCTCCCAGTACTGCCACCACCTGCCCCGAGCTCAGCTCGGCCCAGCCCTCCTCTGGGAAGAACCCAGTACAACCCTGGCCCCAGCCCACCCTGCTCTGCTTGAGGCAGATCCAGGGGCACATGCCCCCTGTCCCCTCCCAGATGAGTGTTTGGAAGCTGTCACACGAGCGCCAGACGAGCCACAGGACGAACAGCTCCTGGACAAGCAGTGCATAGCAGTGGGAGCTGCACTCCCTCCTCCCTTCCTGCACCCTCCGGACGACCTGTGGCCCCGTCCTGCACTTGCCTCGGCTAGGCAGTGCCTGCCCCAGCCCCTGCCCCAGCTCCACTCCCTCCCTCACAGCGTGGGCCCTTGATCTGACCCCCCACACTCTCTCCCCTTCCACCACACCAGACTTACCAGCTGAATGCAGCTCTCCACGCTGCCACCTGTGCTCCTCACTGCCTACATGCTGCACTGCAACTGTGCTCATGCACGGGCCATTTATCAGCCAAATTATCAGCCATATCAGGCCAATTTTCTGATACAGACAATTTTCTTTACATCGGTACCTATCTGATATCAAACCTATGTATCGATGCACCTCTAACAGCCAGCACTCTCCCTTGCCAGGGAAGGTTGTCAGTGATTAGTCCTGCAGTTCCCATGGCTGATTGGTGCAACCTGGGCAGGGATACAGCTGTTAGAGCTCTGTTGGCCACAATGGCTGTGGCAAGATCAGGGTCCCAGAGGGGCTCCTTGACAGCTTGCCATTGTCCAGGCTATCAGAGAGCTAGCCACTCTCCTATCCCCCTAGTCTTCCACCTCTGCCTTGGAGGGAAGCAGAGAGTGGAGGACTGAGATACTGGAGATTCTAGGATCCCCTGTAATGCAATGTATAACTGGACAGGTATTGCACATAGTACTACCAGGTTCATCCTTAATAACTCTACTATTTTTAACTCTGTGACCCTAGAGTTTCTGGTAAAGATAGATTTAAATTTTAACTAACTTTTTTGTTTGATAAATGCATTTTTAATAGCACTTTCTATTACACAGTTGATACAAAAGGGTGGATACTGTTGTACAAAATGTATATTGTTGTTTTTATATTCCAAAAGAATATTTCTTTTTAATTTCCTTCCTTCCCTACTGATTCCCTGTAAGGGAATAAATAAAGTTTTGGTTAGCATGAAAGAGCTACGTGATATACTTAGAAAAACAAAAGTGTTACTTGATTCTTTTGGTTTCCTAAATTTTCAGAGTTTAAAGGAAATATTTATATTAGGACTGTATAGCCTTAACCTCCTTTAAAGCAATATTTTTGGGTATGAAATTGTTTTACTGGATAGGTGAAAAGTGAGGTATCAGAGGCTCCTGGCAAACATCCATTTAATGGTGCAGTGGGATCTAATCTCCAATCCCAACAATCACGCCTCTTGCCATGCCAACACATACATGGTAGGAAATGCGATTTGTGCCAATTATGCCATTACTACTTGCCAGTGCAGGAGAATCCCAGCACTGGGAACTTGAAAGTTGGGTGCCTGTAGCCTTTCATGCAGCTGATTGTCAGCCATGGTCCAGAGAGCCCCGGGTATGGTTTAAGACCTGGGGCTGTTGGGGCTGGGATTGACAGTCAGCTATATGATTGTCAGCCCTGATGGGTTCAAGGGTTTCCCCTGCCAGGGAAACTTTAAACCCCATACCTGACAGCTCTTGCAAGATGTGGAGCATCAGAGTGGGCTCCCCTCAAAGGTCTATCCCTGCCACAAGCTTCTGATGCCTTGTACCCAGGGTCCTTATTGCAGGGCAAGGAGCCCAGCCCCTTCTGCCCTCTGATCTCTCACCCACACACACCAAGGCAGCCCTTGGCCTAGTTGGAGAACTGGGACTGCCCAGAAGCTCAGTGCCAATATTCATTTGAGACCAGGGTTGCCCCAGGCTAGTGCTGACAATGTCGTTGGCAGGCTGGTTGGAGATCTGGGCCCATCCAAAACTTATTCTGACAGTGAGCTGATTTGTCCAGCATTTGCTCTAGAGGGGCCTGGTGTGTGGATGTGCTACAAGTTCAATGTAAGAGGCCATAAAAATTATCCAAAAAATGTTCTGCATTATTTCTGAAATATTTTTATGGCTGATTTGCCATTTTATGGCACCTTATAGTGGATACATGTGTAGCACCCTTGCCATTTATGCTGTAATTAACGTGTTAATTCTGGCGTAAATGTAACATGTAAAGGGGGCCAGAATTTGCAAGTAGAGACTAGAGCAAACTAATAGTAATACATCGTTGGGCTGTACAATGACAAAGTTAAATTCATCATTAGATTACCTTCAGATTGGAGTACAGCCACCAGCCAAAATAGTCTGTCCCTTGCTTGCTGACCTCTATATCAATTTTATCTAGGTGTAGGATTGGCTTCTTCTTTTACTTGTTTTTTTAGGGCTCATAGAAAATTAAGTAAGGATAGAAATTCTCTGCTCCCTCCTAGGTATCAACAATGGCTTTTATTACCTTTTAAAGAAAATATCTGTAATTTTGTTGTTTTAAGGCTATAATGTTGGCTGTGTTCAATGCTGAGTAGATAAGGTGAGCGAAATGTCCATGGATTTTTACTTCTTATGTTACTCAATTTAATAACAAGTTTTAATTTACTGCTTTTAATTTTCTTTTAGCAGTTTTAAATAATATTTTTTGCCATGACTTGCATTAATTAAAGTACTTAGTCATGAGCTATTTCTACTCTTTGATATTTTAATTAGATTTGAATTCATTGTTTTAATTTTACATTAAAAAGATTTTGCAACTGATTATAATCTAACTTTTATTTTATGGGGTTTCAGTACAGACCTAGTCATTTTGAATAACCTAGCAAGGGCAGACATTGAAACAGTTAAATATTGTGTCATCCAGTAGTGACATGTATGAACAGAAAAAAGTAAATTGTGAAATATTGGCATATAATGGTTGCTTCTAAATGAACTACA